CATGTGTACCTTTATTATCTGTTATACCCTAAAGACAAAATAAATATATGCTTTTGCTAAATTTATACATATGATGAAGTCAATGTGAGCTATCATTTTCTTTACTGTTACTTTAGATAAATTACTTGAAAATGCTTTGTTGGATATATTATTTTGTTATCATTATTAGAACTAAACCAACGAAAGAATGGTCGAGCTCGTCCAAACGTGTAATCAGATCTATTAGCAGGTGTAAATGTTGTTGTTTCAGCATGTACTGCCCATTGAACATTGGCATCATTTAAATAACCACCAGCAAATAATTTTCCTTCACAAGTAGCTATAACGTATGCATCATTATTTGGATGACAATAATGTACTATTGATGGTCGAGTCATTGATGAAACTTCATACTCTGGTCTACGAAACTCTTGAACTGTGAAATGATGTGTTGTTTCACCTTTTGAATCTGGTAAACTGAAGTTTACCCATGCATTACCTGATAATAATAATAATAACAATATAAACTCAAAATCAATCAACATTTATATCTACACAAACAATAAATACACAATCTTACCTAAGTTAACATTACCAGGTAATGTAAATTTGATATCAAATGCACCATAATTATTTAACTCGACTTTTGATTGTTGAAGTTTTTCACCACGAGGATCATAAGCAGTATAATCAATAATACCTTGAGCATAAGTTGGTAATTTTGCATCACCTTTTACCTCTAGTAATCGAACATATCCTTTGATATGCACATCTTCCTTTGGTTTATATAAATTTCGATCATTAAATACATGCCAAACGTAAGCATCAGGATTTGATACATGAGAATAAATATCTGTTAGAATACATAGATCATTATCTTTTTGTACAATTAATATTTCTTTTTCTGTTGTATTGTTTTCAGAATTATAATTTGAAATAGTACATAATCCTTGTTGATTTGTTTCTTCTTTCTTGCCCCGTATTGAAACAATTGCTTGATTGACAGGTATACCAGTCATTAATTCAGTAATCCATGCAGTTAATCTAACGTCTGAACCTATGAGAAAAGAATCTATATATGGACATACCTCCAATCTTTTCAAATATGATTACCTGGAGAAACAAATAGATCAACTGCTAATCGAGTACATTGTAACCAGGCTGATATAACTTGTTTACGCTGCCAGTCATTATGTTGACATTCGTTCCATGCTTTTTCTGTTGGTTCAATGAAGACAATTAATTGGCCTACACTCGAAGTTTTTGTTAAATATGATTTTAAAGGAACTTTTATCTCTTTTGGTTCATCACGTTCACAATTGGTTTGTATAACTTCATTGAACAATTCTTCTCCAGGCAATTGATGATGCAAGTCGTCTTCTTCTCTATGTCTGCGAGAATATTGCTGAAAACAAGGTAAATTTGGATTGTAATGTTCTGGTTTGACTTGATTAATACGTAATGTTATTTCGGAATAATTATAAACCATAAATGGATAAAATGGTTCATCCAATACGCCGGGATCCATTATAATCATACCTATAACAAAAATTCTCTTTTTATTTATAATCAATGTCTTTTTTTTTTTACATACCTGTAGCACCCGATATATCGCCAACTAATGGTGGTAAATCATGTACATGAAATTGAATTGGTTGTTCAGAATGATCATGTTCTAATGTTTGATCATGAATATCTTTCAATATTCCCGATTGTATAACTAATGTATAAATAGTATTTGGTTTAGAATTATTATGTATTGTTATTTGTCGATTATTGTGTTCAACATGTTCAATACCTAATTCACTAACTTCTGGTTCGATTTTGAATAATGATTTATTAATAGTTGAATGATCTAATGAATTATTGAATGTTACTGACCAACTATGACCAGGACTAATAGATGATTGACGTTCATTATTTTTATTTGGATGCCAGTCAGTAATTTTTAAAGGTTCATAAGTCTGAAAACTAGCTGACCACTCTGATGTTGTCACTAATGGACCTTCGGCTGATGGACAACCTGCAGGCAATTGAATCGTATATAGCGTTGCTTTTAATAAATCATTTTTAAATGTAAATGCAACATATTTCTCATGATTCCCTTCAGTAGCATCTATATAAGATTTAAATTCCTTTTTTGCTGTAACTTCATCTACTAGTTGTAATTCGTTGCTTGATATTTCATGTTTATCACTACTCATTACACGTAAATGCTCTAAAATTCTATTCCTATCAATTTTTTGATCAAATAATAGAAAACAGATCGGTTTCAATGTTGAAACTGTTCCACATGGTAAGAATTGAAGAACATTTGGTGTTGTTGTTGAGAATTCAAATAATAGTTCATCGTCTAATTTTCCTAAAAATAATGAGAACATTAAAGAAAAATGTAACTTCTCCGCTCTTCAGATAGATTTACCTCCAATTGCTGATACACAATGTTGTTTGTCAACTTTTAATATATATTTTGTTGAAAATGGCAAACGATGTTTTGGTTCGAACTGAACTGTTTTTGTTCCTAACCATCTCCATCGACCTTCTATCGCAGATGTTAATGATATACCAAGATCTTCGATATTTATTTGATTATCTAATGATGAAACAGCAATCATTGGTTGGTTAAATGTTATGGTAACAGTTGCCAATGGATAATTAATTTGTGTTTCATTTGGAGAATATCTTTCGATGATCAACGGACCTGCTTCCGGTTTAGCTAATTGTTTCAATTGTTCAATACTAAGATCAAAATCTTGTTTACGATCTTCTGCAAGCGGTGGGAATGGTGTTTGTATTATTTTGCTTGTTTTTGGTGCTTTAATTGTTTCTTCACGTTTAAAAAATTCTTGATCATCCATCGAATCTGCAATCAATTCAGAACTAGCTCGAGTGAATAACTGTTGTAATTGATCTCCAGTTAAGATCTGTTGATGTTGTTGTGAATCATCGTTTAATGGTATTACTCCAGCATCAATTATAATTTGATCATTGCTTTCATTTGTTTCAGTAATATTAAATTGAAACTGATGGGGTTCAGATTGTTCATTATTAATCGTCTGATTGGGAATTAGTCGTCGTCTTGTCATTATAATATCACAATAATAGGATGAAAAGGCAGTAGAACTGTAATTTTATCTACAAAGAATATATTTTTGAATTTAATAAAACTTTTCACGGTATAGAACTAAAAAGTGAAATAAAGCTATAAGCGTGGACTAATGATTGCAAAAATGATAACTACATAGATTTGCGTTCTATGCACGTTGTTTTTGTTTTCTTTCTTGATAAATGTATATGTTAAGCATACACTTTGTTCTAAAGATTTCTAATATACAAGTAAGGAAAGAAAGAAAAAAATAACAAATTAAAGAGGTTTTAAGGTAAGAAGAAAGTATGTGACAGGTGTCGCTGAAGATCGGCATTCGCAGTGATCCAAGCGTTCTTATTACGATTCTTGTAGAAACATGTTTTGCTTCTAATCGAATCTATACTTAAACCGTGTAATTTTTTCTGGTCGATTGATTTTACTAGCGAATTTATTGATGAAGTATTATATAAAAAAAATTATTCGTACTATATCTTGTTCAATCGAAGAGAAGCAGAATAAAGACTTTTAATGTTTGATGAGTATCATCAGAATGAACATATTTTCAAATATTTACACTATGAAAGTCAATTTTAATAATATTTTTCATTGACTGTACGCTGTAATGTTTTTAGCTTCTTTTGTTTTGAAAATCAACTTCGAATGAGCTAAGATATTTTCAAACTGTTATTATTTAGCGGAGGAAATTTGAATGTTTCGAAAATGCTTGATTTCCTATAAAAAATATTTTCAAGAAAATCGAAAAGTGAGCAATAAGTTTTAGAACATTTAAAAACTAATGGTGTTTTTTCGGTAGATTTTGCGAAACAAAGACTGCCATAGAATCGTTGTCCAGTATTGGTATATAAACCAATCGATAATGTTAAACATTCATTATATCATCTTCAACAGCTATAGCAAGTTGATAAATTCTTTTTCAGGTATTACATGAATTAATTAATTGTGTATAAACTTACAGATATTTTTTCTTATTTAATTTAATTTTTTCTATGAATAGCTGATTTGTTAAATTAATGATCGTTCTAATTCATTTAATAGTAATATTGTTCAAATATTGTTACTAAATAGTAAACATAAATTCCAATTTTCTCGTAAGAGTAGGTTTTGAATTGATAGACACCCACACCCACACCCTCAACCATCTCAATAAAATGATTAAACCGGTGTCTATTATTCTTCTTTTTATTATACATTCTTTATTCTCGATTATATTTGATTTTTATTGTAATGTATATTTTTCTCTCATAGTAGTCTTTTTGTTTAATTGTTGAACTTCTTCTTTCTTGATAATGATGAAGGATATCACTGAAAGTTCGAATAAAATTCTCCATATTTTATAGCAGTCATTTACTCTTTTATTTCTTTATTTTGTTGAATTTTATCATTCGAAAAACTGTACAGAACAATGGTTTCTGAACTAATAAAGTTTATTAAAGTATTCTATTAATTATGTTAACATGATATCTAAATTAAAGATACAGATAGGGTTCTTGATTCTGTTTTAAGTATACATAAAATATTAATTAATGAAATTCAAATATATTTTGATCATAGTGAAAGTCAAGTATTGATTTAATTAAGAGCAATATTAATACAGCCATTCGAAATAAATAACTCGTACGAAGAAGTTTCAGCTAAATATAAATTAACAACAAGTGTCATCCGAACTGTACGACAGATTTTATCAAATATAATAATAGAAGTATAATAATCAAAATTAGTATCGAAAGGAATAAACCATGATTTAATATTTTATTTAGTAATGAAACAATATTTTGTAATTAACAAGGATTTGTCTATCAGTATTATTTTATTCTTTGAGGGTAAAAGAAAAAAAAGTTCTGTTTCATGTAAAAATAGATAGATAGATGAAAAAAGAATAACTGAAATGTTGATCATCATTATAAAACAAATTATATGCTAAAGAAATATTAAAAATACAAAATATTTCTACATTTTTGATTGAACTAATTATGTTAAACACTGATTTATTTATTTAAAAAATAATTAAAATCCACTAGGAAATGTCAGACATTACAAATCATACATCAAAATTCATATTTTTAACTGTTTTTCGACGAACATAAAACTAGTTTATGCCAATACTGGAACAACCGTTTCTGATCGTAAACTTAATTTTTTCATAATTAATTTTTTAAGTGGATCTGTAAATTGAAATAAAACAATCATTACACATGCTAATGCAAAATCAATAAATATAAAAGCAATACGAAAATGATATTTTGGTGCTTGATTAAAAAATGACATAAACATAAATAATGCATATGGAAAATCAATTACAAATAATATTAATAAAAGTATTACAGTACGACGGAACATTTTTAATTCACGTTGTGCACGTGATATTGTATTGACAGATGTTGAACGTCGATTTATTTCATTAACATATCGAACTAATCTCCAATAAATCAATAAAGTTGAGACAATAGGAAGTATATAAACGGAAAATGCAACAAAATTAAGTTGAACTGAAAGTCTAAGTGGTATTTGACATATTTGATTGTCAACATTATAAGTTATATCACCAGTAAATATAAATGCAATAGGAAATATAAATGCATAAATCCATGATAGACCAATAAGATAAGCTTGATTTTGTAATCTTTGCCAAAATAAACGTGTTGGGTAAATTACAAGAATATACCGATGAAGTGCTTGTAATAAAAATGAATAATTAAGTACAGCACAAGAAACATATGTTAAGTAACCACCAACTATACAAAATGAATTTTGATATTGAATTTGTTTAAGATCATTATTTAATGCAGATAGAGTTATAACAAGTCTATCACTACCTAAAATAAATTGTGCTAAACATGAATTAGCAACAAGCATCATTGGAACTGTATGACATGTTCTATCAATTAAAATAATTAATAAAAATATTAAAACTGGTATTATAACAAATATAAGACATATAATCATGAGAATATCTAATGGAATAAACCATGGTTCAATATTTATTGTAGATGAATTATTGTCATACATCATTTGTGAAAGAGAAAAATATCTTCTGATTTTTTTTTTGATAAAATGAGATTCGCTCTTTCTCACTAATCCGTAATGAGTTATTTTTGGTTTGAATATTAACTCAATATGTAATCCTTTTCAAAAGTTTTGTCAACGGATGTCATTATATAGTTTCTAGCAGTAATTACAAATGAAAAAATATACGTCAATGCTTGTATTTCTTTTAATACTAAAAATAGATAAATGAGACGACCTCCTATGAAGCAAAAAATTTCAATACATGAAAAGTAAGAGATATTTGAAAGTATATATAGATTTTTTAAAGGTCCACAATAGATGATTTCTCGCTTGAACGAAGAAATTTGATGATTGCAGGAAGATTGGCTGTATTCCATTCAATGTTTGCATTGATTCTCTGGATCGATAGATGAAATTGTCGATATATCGTACCTAGATACAGTGACATTAATGTTTAGAGAAATAATATGATAGAAATTGATTTTTTTTTACCTTTGTCAATGATCGTATCAGCAAATGCTTTAAATTCATCACGCTGTCGAGTGGTGACAAAACGACTGGAGACTGCGTCGATAATTCTTTTTAAACCACTTCCTGATTTTCCCCATTTAGAAAAAAGTTTCGGCCAGTTGTCACGAATCCAGTTCCACACTATTTGATTTGCTTGCGGTGAACGAGCGACTTTTGATATGGACGATATCAAGTTTTGATTACGAATGATCGACTCATTCTCGAAATGTTTATTTAGAAACCAAAGAATAAGTGCAGGATCTTGTGTGCAAGAAAGTCCTTCAAGTAGATTCGATGCTTCACTCATAATGGATTCGTTTTGAAGACGAGTCCACAAAAAAGAGAATTCTGATCGTGAGCCTGTTCGAGCAACTGTACAGTAAACAGTCAAGCGAAGGTCAGCCGGAATGGGATTCAGTGTAGGATTCATAGTCCAGTTTTGATAGAGACTACGTGCTGCATCAATGCAACTTTGGTGACCATAACGGCAGACAGTTGATAAAATATTTGGTTGTAGTAGAGCTCGAAGCCATTCGGTGGATTGATTAACAGGAATCCATCCAATTTGATCGTAGACCGGAAGAATCAATTCTAGAAAGTATTGTTGTACATCAGCTAAAATATCGTGTTCACCAAGTAATAATTCTTGTTGATTCATTGCAGCAAGCGCTATTGTCCATGGGACCAATGCAGTTTCATTCTTTAAATATCTAATCAATTCGTATGCGTCAGTTATATTAGCCAAGGCAGCGCGTGACAAAGCAAAGATATCATCGATAAGCGCTGCTCGACTAGCAGTTGGAATATGTGTATGGTTGCTCTGAAGTTGGTTTAGAATGAGACGAAAATTTTGTGAATCATACTTTGTACGATAGATACCAAGATAGTCGGGATTGGCTAGAATCCAATCTGAGTTCGATGTAGTAATCGACAACGTAGCTGATGTATTATTGAACCATAGAATCTCATTTACTTGATTGAAAGTTCTATCAAAGTATTTAAATGGAATCCACCATGGATTTCGCTCGATATTCGTCGCTGGAAGAAGGCTAAAAGGCTTTTGACTAATCATCATATAACTTCCGACTCCTTCCCGATCAGATGCACTATAAATTCGATTAATTTCCAGAACTGGATAGCCTGCTTGACGTGTCCATCCATCCATAACTTGTTCAATGTTAATTGTATTATTTGCCGCTTCGTTCAAGTATTTCCATAAGTCCTTTTCTGTTGCTGAACTAAAATTCAACGCTGTTACATATAGCTGAAGGCCTTCTTGAAAGGTTCGAGCACCTAAAATCATGGACATCATGCGAATCACTGCTGCTCCTTTGTAATAACTAATCGAATCATACAATGGAATGATATCTGTCAGGTTGGCTGATTCAATACTCAATGGTCGCGAAGTCGGTAACGAATCGGCTTCCATAAATTTGAAAATCATCTCCACAGGAACTTGCTCCTCTAGCATCAGAGAAGGTTGAACATAATTGGATGCCATTGTTTCCATGTAAGTAGCAAAACCTTCCTTCAGCCACCTATGCGACGAAAATAAAGTAGTGAAAGAGAAAAGACAGTGACACTCACAGTTCATTCCACCAAGCGGGGGTCACTAAATTACCCAGCCATTGATGAGCTATTTCATGTACTACCAACGTTGTTATGTATTGTTTTATGGAGCTAGATACTATTTTTTCATCGAAAAATATGCCCAAATCATCATATATTAATAAGCCTAAAGAGAAAGAGATAAATTCAATTACCGATTTCGATTCTACCATTTTTACCATAGTTTTCCATTGCTTCTCCAGGAAAGTTGATAACATCAAAATGTTCGATTTTTGGTAAGGGATAGTCAATATTAAAGTATGTATTGAAGAATTCTAACGTTTTGTAGGCGACTTCGTCAGCATAGGTTAGTTGTGAAAGAATATTGGTACGTCCACACACGCGTGATTTAGTATTTTTCGAACCTACAACACGATCAGGTAAACAGGCAAAATCGGCTGTTGGTGCCACAATAAGTGCCAAAAGAAATGTGGACATTTGTAGTGTTGGAGTAAAATATGAAATAATTCGTCCATCACTGAGTATTTCCCTTCTTTCAATTTCTCCATTGGACCATGGAGTATATAACGGATCATGTACTACACTCATTTTAAAAATAGCCTTACGCGCAGGCTCATCAATACATGGAAGTACACTTCGAGCACTAGTAGGTTCCATACCAGATGTCATAAACATGTTTTTATTCCCACTACTATCGATATAGTGGTTCATATAAAACCCATATAATTCACGATTAATATCGCCGGCATAAAAAATACGAAGTGTATAAGTAGTTCGTGCTATAAACATGGATGAAAAGTTGAATATCATAAACTGTGTATAATTATCATAGGACCACGATAGAAAAACAGGCAGCGAGTTGGAGGTTGTATTGACGATTCTTATACTTGAATTATCAATGCGCAAGTTTTCCATATGTAAAATCACTTGGTTAGTGTCCTTCAGACATATGAAGGTGTAAAGAAGATCACTTGTGAATGTCTCATTGGTCAGATTTGGTGTAATAGTTAAGTGATAGGATAGCTGTTGCAAATCGTCAGGTATGCGTGCGACGGACGAAGCAGTACTATTGGTAATTATTTCAAACTGACTATTATTAGTAGTTGATATTGGAGATACTTCATTGATGATATGATTTTGAACTCTTTGTTTAACACCAAAATAAATAGTTAATACTAGTAGAACAGTAAAAACAGCGGCAAACATGAATATGACAGACCAGAATAATTTCTTCGACACGTTATAGCTACTTGTACGTGCAAATTTGACATCCGGAGTGTCGAGAACAAGGTTTTGCATTTGTTGTTCCATAGAAATTTAAATAAAAACGGTCAGAATGAATTTTCCTTATAAGTTAATCATATTGTTTTATTCTAAAAAACTGATATATATATATATATTCTTTATAGTGTATCGAATTGTATTGGTCTTTCACTTCAACTGCATTTGACCTTTATCTTTCGATCTTATACTAAGTATCGAACGATGAAAAAAAGAAAGAGGATGACTATAGTTATTCGTTCTCTTGTGATACAGTATTCATATAATATTTACGAACGAACTAAACTGCAGAGATTCGTTTACCATGTTTTATTTTTAGTCATTTTTTGTAACTTCCTACTCTAGAATTAACACTCAATTTTATTTATGATTTTTTATAATAAATCGATCGATCTCATCAAATAAACCATTATTGTGACGATTTCTGGCAGAAAGAGTGTTAGTGTTGGTAGTATTATACTTTAGTATATTTTTTCTTACCTACAATCACATCGTTTTCATACAAAGTGTACACGTGTATACACATCGATCAGAGAGAACGAAAGAAAAGGGCAACAAGGATAGAATAAGATGAAGGCAAAGTATTACATGATTGACTATAGACATGAACGAACCGAATGACTGTGAGGACACAATTTATCGCATTGAAAAAGTAACTTTTTGTAATTGTATTTATATTTTATGTATAGTAAAAAAAAACATTTACAACAATAGCGAGTAAAAATCATCGAAACGTATGATGAATATAGAAGGTTAAACTTTCGATTTGATATTTGATCGGTATATTGTAATACAATACTTGTTTCAATAAAATAGTCCGTGCTTAATACAAATCAATCCTCTTCTGTTTCAATTTCTACATATTCTTTTCATCGATTTGTGTTCTTGCTATCATCTCAAATTACAAATGTCGAAAAACTGAATAATATTCATGAGAGATAAATGAGTATATATATTTATGTAACAGATAGAGACATTAATAAAACTCATATCCTCAAAAACTTGAAATAACTTAAATTTTATTGTATTGGACAAGCTTGTATAGCTCTTACTTCAACATGAAAATCACAATTTGACCATTGTACAATAGTCATATTTGTCGGTTGTTCAACAGTTCTATCACAAATAAGTTTCATTCACATATATCGAGTACGACCAAAACATGGATCACCATTATTTGTTGTCATAAAAACACCTGTTCCTGGTCCATCTGGATTTTCTGTGTAGGTTGCATTAAGATTGGGCGAAAACGTTGATTTACCATCTAGAAATGCCATTGTAGACCACATTTGAAAGGCACGATTATATTGACAACTCATTTCATACGGAACAATATGTCCATGACATGCTTCTGCTTTAACAATATCACAAAGAGTTAGAGCATAATCGTATTCATCATCACTTCCAAATAATGTAAATTTACTTAAACGATTCAAATCATATTTGTTAGAGCCAAATATTTGATGACATGAATCCATCGTGCATTTGACAGTATTCAAACCGGCAAATAATAATATTAAAGTGAAGAAAGAGAAACGCATTTGTTTTAGTCTGTAATAACGAAATGAAAACTAAGAACAATTTAAAATCAATAAAGATAAGAATTACGTTTTCTTTTCTCAATTTTTTTTAGTTTTCTGAAACATCATCATATAAAAACACATTTTATTAAACTGAAAAGATAACAAGGAAAATGGTCTACTGTGACTACGATATAATCATGAAGATAATTTTGTTCTATTCTGTTATATTGACAATGTAAAAATCACTTCTTAGAGAACATTTATCTATGATGAGAGAGAAATCAATATGGCAACGGCAAATAATAATGTGTATGTCATTTTTTTCTGATTTTGAAGGCATATTTTATATTTCACTTTACGATTTTTTTCAATCCAAGAAACTCGATACTACATTTGGCTGTGGATGTGGGAGTTTAAGTTGGCGAAGATGTTGTCGTAAGCGCGAATGTGGTTGAATGGATACGTAGATAAAGAAAAGAGCTGCCCACTCACCCACACCCTCAAGATATGACAAGCTATTATTAAAGATTCTTTTTTT